GCTCCATGTAGACCAGTGTTAAACTTGTAGCCTCCCAGTAACCAATCACAGGCCGCCGTGATAGATTTAGTTGTCAACGGTTCTCGTCACTGACACATATTTTATTTGGGGAACTGTTTTTCTGTGTGCACCCTCACTCGACGTGTTGACCCTTAACATCAATTTATGGTCACTTTACTTCTTTAAAACACAGAAATGTGTTTGACCTTATTTGAAGAGTGTGTTTGATGTCCAGCTTGTGAATGATGGCGTCCGTACAGTCATAGAGGATGCAGCAGATCATGCAGGTGTGACTGTGACCAGCTGCAGTCTGCAGTGTCTGTGGAGTGAACACGCTCAGTGCGAGCCTCGCCACAGGCTTACAGCAACCAACGAGTCACATCAGTGGATACAGCCATCGTTTACTTACAGTTTGCTTTTTGGGGGATTTTCTATGAAAACAACAATCGACAACCTCACCGTACGGTTAAGGTTATCACTTACTGAACATAATCAAGGATCAGTTTGACTGAAAGTGTTTTACAATCAGATAAAAGATAAAAATGTGTTTTCCGTGTGGTCTTCACTAAGCAGCTCTTTAATGCTCTCAGGATGAATATTCACTGACTTCCCTTTAAACTTTATTTGATCTCTTATTGTATAAGCTCACATTTACCCCCATTTACATAACCTGGTTTATTTAAATGCATGTTTTGCTGTTAAAAAAGTGAACCACGGTTTACTTTGCAGCGCTTTCACAGCCGGAGACGCTGTGAGACAAGCCTGAGTCGTACCACCAGCCTCTGTTAGTCCTGAACTGTTACGTTATGACGGCACGCAGCAGCTATTTTCTGCTCACGACTCGTTTAATTAAATGTTTTACAAAGCGTCTAAATAAAACGTGTTGAACATGAGGTTTGCGTTACCGCGTTCGTTTGAGTGTCAGCTCTACCTGCAGCCTCTCTGCAACGCCACCATTGTTTTGGACTGGCTGTAGAGGTGGCGTTTTTAATCTGCACACTGTTGTATTTATTTTTACAAGACGGAAACCATCGAGCTTTTCACAGAGTCCAGAAATGCTGAACTTTCCCCCACTGGCTGCTTTGTACCATGTCTAAAATCTCAGCGGGGCCAGGCACGGATTGATTTGACCACATGGCCGAGCCGCTCCGGTGTTTTGTTTTCCCCAACACCTGCCCACATTTCCCACACACTTTCTTCACTGAGAGAGTGAAACATGAGAGTTGTGAACTATGGCTGGTGTCCATCACCTATTGTGTGCTGCTGTTCATTAACGCTTTAGGCTTCATTTAACACTGAGGTGCAATTTCCCGACACAGTGGACAGGAAATGTCACTGTGGATCAAAGTCTGTGTTCTAACAAGTTCATCAGCAGCCCTGCTTCAAAGGCTTCCCTTCGCTCTTTCATCAGTCTGCTGAAGCACATGTTGCAGAGGAAGTCCTGGTTAAGTTTATTTACCAGCACGTTGTTAGGAACAGGAAACGCTCAGCAGATTCGACAAACGAATCATTGGTGTAGACAAAGCAGCGTAGGATGTGTGGGATTATCTAGCTGGAGGTTAGAGTATCAGTGTGCAGTTGACCTGCTTGAGCGAGAGTAAATGAAAACAAGAGATTTATGTCTCTACCTCCTCATATCCTCTTTATCTAATGAGGTTCTTCT